AAGAGAGAGGAAGGAAGCAACTTTGCAATGAGGCCAGGGGTGGGTGGGGAGCTGATTTATGATTGCTTTCCTGGTTCTTGCTTCTTGGGAGAAGGGGTTGCACTCTTTGCTTTGGGTTCCACGAAATATTCCTGACACTCCTTCTGCCTTCAAAAACAGCTTTTAATTTTGAAATAATTATAGGTCCAGAGGAAGTTGCAAAGATAGTACAGAGGTGTCCCCTGGACCCTTCACTGTTTCCCACATGGTTACAACTTCCATAACTCTAGCACGATATTAAACCAGGAAATTGACATTGGTACAATGTCTGCCATAAAGATCTTCTTACTGCTATCCCTATATAGGCACCACTCCTCTCACCATTCCTAATCCCTGGCCATTTCTAAGCTGTTTTCTATCTCTATAATTTTGTCATTTTGAGAATATTCTTTTTTTTTTTTTAATCCTCACCTGAGGATATGTTTTTATTGATTTTAGAGAAGAGGAAATGGAGGGAAAGAGAAAGATCAGTGTGAGAGAGAGACATAGATTAGTTCCCTCCCGTAGGCGCCCTGGCTGGGGATCTAACCCAAAATCTGGGTATGTGCCCTGATCGGGAGGAGAGCCCACAACCCTTCTGTGCATGGGATGATGCTCCAACCAACAGAGCCACACCAGCCAAGGCTCATTGTCATCTTAAATTGTGTTGTTGTTTTTTTATTGCTAGTAACACTGAATATTTTTTTCATGTGTATATTTGTTGTCTGTATATCCTCATTGATGAAATGCCCCTTCATATATTTGCCCATTTTCTAACTGGGGTGTGTGTGTTATTTTACTGTCAATTTTTGATATAAATTATCTTGTTTTGTTAGCAAGTTGGAATGGGCTTCTGTTCCTTGCAGACTCATGGTTATTCTACTTTGGTCTTTAATGACAATTATAATAATAGCTAACATTTATTGAGCACATACTTAGCGTCAAGCCTATAAGCGACTCACAGGTTTTAGCTCACTTTATATATGTTGTTTTTATAAACACCATATCTTATTGTTCTAATCATTAACTAAATCATTATAATTTAGTTTACAAATAATTAACATAAACAAATAGCTCCAGCTAAATTCGAACGGACTGAGTTTCTGTTTCTGTTGATTGAAAAATATCTAGGCCACTGATGTCACAAGAGTGCACGAGTCACAACAACTGCTCTTCAAGTGAAATAACAGCATAAACAGTTAAAAAAAACATTGCATAGTGCACACGTTTTTATTTGCTTTAAGTAAATACCTGACAATGTTCAGTTCAACAAATTCTACAGAAAAAATCCCCCAAGCTATAGTCCCCTCCTAAAATAAAGGCAGAAAATAAATGTATAATTTTTAAAAACCACGTCACTGTGAGTGAGGCAGATATATGCGCGGTGTTCAGATACCTGAATTCCTGTGGGAGGCTAGGACTGTATTTCCTGAGGTTTCGGAAGTAGAGCAGGGGTTTGTGGAGGGTCCCCAAGGTGACTGTGCAGTTGGCCCTATAGCAGAACTACCTCTTCGACAGGCAGGGCCCCTTTGGGGACTGGGCCCGGGGGCTGTAAATGTGAGTTATTGTGAGTCAAGTCAACACCTGGCTTCTGGATAATCAATCATCTATTGATTGTGTTTGTTGCAGCTTCTTTCCACACTTGGAAACTGACAGGAGGGTGCAGAGTCCCCATTCCCACACGTTAGACAGTCATGTTTCCACCCTTGGGAGAGGTAAATGATGGTGACCCTACGGTGCAGCCAGGCAGCACCTGGAGATTTGGGGATTCAGGGAATGGCCACCCCTGCCCCACCCTAGTGTCACTGCCACAGTGCAACCTGAGCTGTGAAAGGTGGCATCAGCAGAGCAGTCACAGGTCTGCCCATCAGGGGCACCAAGTCCCTTTGACTGTTGTTTAGCCACTGCATTTAGATGGATCGATCACAGTGAGCAGGCCCAATGTGCAGCAGACTCAGCAGGTCCAGGGACAGCCTGTGCTCACCCACCTTCCGCAGTGAACCTTATGGCAGCTTCGGCTTCGGACATTGAGGTGTGAGGAACACGTGCCCATCTGCCTTTCACCCACTTGTTCCCTGATTTCGACCCCACCCCTCTGAACCTCCCGGCTTTGACCTTGTTGACTTCTCTCCTGGTTTTGGTCTCTTCTCACCCTTAATCCTTTGGACTTGATGTTTGGCACATTTTCCTACTAAAACCATGTTTCTTTCTTTGTTCTATCACCATATTGCTTTATGCTACCTCAAGGAAGGCCTGGGCCACGCCTATCTAGTGAGGCCCCAGGGGCTGTGGCTCTACTTCCTCTCCCTCTTCCCAATATTTCCCTCCCCCACAAAAGTTCAGATCCAGCCTCACTCCTCCACAGCCAGGCTGTTTGCAATTGGCCTTTCCTCTCTGACTCTGGGGTGGCAGGCGAAGCTCTTTCTCACAGGGCTGTTGTGGGATTTGCTGACTACATTACCAGGGAAGGGGGAAAGAGGAGTTGTTTCATGGGTATATGCTTTTAGTTTGGTAATATGAAAAGTTCTGGATGGTGGTGATAGTAGCACAACATTGTGGAAAAAAATAATATATATATCCACCCATTTCCCATCATAGCTTAGTACTCAGATGGTAGCTAGCTAATTCTAGAAATGGGGCAGCCCTCCCCACTACCCTTTGCCCCCCACCCTGGTCTCTGCTCTCAGGTCAGGATGTCCTGTCCTGCCCATTCCCCCACCCTGTCCCAGCCCCACCCTCCTATCAGTCAGGGGGATCAGACAGAGTGCTCCCCTCCCCTAGTAGCACAGGATCTCTCATTGGCTGCCATCACCATGGCAACTCACTGTCTCCTCCCCACCCCCTCACTTTCCAGAGCCGCAGATGTGTAGAGTTCCAGACTTCTCAGGGCTGGAGGGAAGAGGAAAGAGAGATGGGGGAGGAGAGAGAGGCTCCCTGACTGCAAAGTCAGCCGCACAGTTCACGGTTACCTGGATTCCGACTCCTGCCTCGTGCCCAGTGTGGCCTCTACTGTCTCCCCATGTGGAGAAACCACTCCAATATGCTTAGGCACACATGATCCCCTCTGAAATGGGCCAGCTCAGGGCCCCAGGGCCCTGGGTTAGTGGCACCTGGCAGGTGTGCTATTCAAACAGAAGGGTCTCCTGCTGCTGGCCTAGGGCACTGCAGGGGGATGAAGAGAGAGCCCACGAGTGGGGGAGCTCTGAAGCCTCCCAAGGCTGTCCAGGTCATTTGTTATTCCGGCCACCCCTGGGCGTGGTTGGTCAGTGGGGGCACCTAACAGGTGCTCTCCCCACCTGATGAGTCAGTCACACAGGGCACTGGGTAGTGAGGCCCCAACTAGCAGGACCCAGCTGTGGGGTGCAGGCCATGGTGAGTGCCAGGGCCTGAGAACTTCCTGCTTCCCCAACCACCTGCAGAGTGACCACACCACGCATCTTATACGTGCGTGGACTGCAGTGTGCAAATGCTCATTGGTGCTCTTGTAGTTTAAAAACATAATTTAAAAGCATGGGCTGAATTCAAGGTAACCTTTGTCATTAATGTATTCTCAGCAGGGGCATGGAGGGTCCATGAAGTTGATTGCGGTTGAACAAACCCTCCTTGAAAAGGGTGAAGCCCTGAAATTCTGGCACACACTCCCACGTGGATGAACCTTGAGGACAGGATGCTCAGTGAGAGAAGCCAGAGACAAAAGGACAAATATTGTATGATTCCACTTACATGAGGTAATACATGAGGTAATGAATTTGAGACAAAAAGTAGATTAGAGTTTGGGGTGGAGTGGGGATAGCGAGTGGGGAGCTAGCATTTAATGGGGATAGAGTCTCCGTTTGGGAAGATAAAAAGCTCTGGAGATGGATGGTGGTGACGGCTACACAGCATTGTGGCTGTACTTAGTGCCCCCGAACTGGAGACTTAAAAATGGTTAAAACAATAAATTTTGTTAAGTGTATTTGACTACAATAAAAAATTTACACACACACACACACACACCAAGCAAAACGGGGGTGAGGCAAGGCTAGGTGGTGGACCATGGGAGTCCGGGATGGAGGACACACCCAGGGAAGCTTTGACAGGGAGAGGCATTCAGGAAAAGGGGGCTTGCTCCAAGGCTGTCTCCCCCTCAACTGCCTCACCCTGCCACCCCCAGCTGCCTGGCTGAGGGTAAGCAGGTTGAGAAGGTTACATTGGGGGCCCCCTGCCCCTCCCTGAGGGAACTAAAGAAACCACCTTGGATGACCCATTGCCTCCCATCATGGTTCCACTTCATTTAGGAATCCCCCAGGGCAGTGATGAGTCTCGGCTTCAGTCCTGATCAGGGAGATCAGGAGGACCCTGTGGAAGGCCCGCGTGGGCTGGCTGGGCCGTGAGGACCCACCAGCTCTGGTCAAGTAGCCACAGTACATGTGTGGCAAACACCACAGCGAGGTAGTGAGAGGGAAGCCTTGCTCTCCTGGGGCCCCTGTGCTGCACCTTCCCCACCCCAACGTCTGGGGTGCCTGCAGTCCCACCTTGCCTCTGAGTCACTGATCAAACCCACCAGCCCTTCTGACGGAGATGGAAACAGGCAGCAAGCCCTCCGGGAAGCTATTTTAAGGATTCATCTGTGCTTTCTGGTTTCTCCTCTAGATTCCATATTCTCCCACCCCCAGATCTGAAAGAGCTAGAGGTTCTGGAAATCATTCATCATTCCCCCTCTCCAGGTCCTCTCGCTCACTGGGCGGCTCAGCTTGCAAGCTGTGCCTTCGCCCCCCCTCCTCCCCGTACCACTCCCTCTTTCCTTCTTCACCCCGACCCTCACCGTCCGGTTCCCCGGCTCTACAGGCCGCCTGGAAAGCAGGCTGTTTGTCTGACATCATCTCCCACTCCCTGGCCTGCTAAGAGTTACTCACTCAGGCAATCCCTGCTCCGCCAGAGGAGACTGTCCAATTGCCAAGCAACCCGCCGTTGGCCAATCACAGAGCTGGGAGGTGATGTCATGGCGAGAGCGGAGCAGTGGTGCTGATGTGGAGAGGAGCCCAGGGTACCACTAATTGAGGGAGTGAGGAAGGGAGCAGCTCGCTTCTAACTGGACTGCAGGTAAGTAGAAATGAAATGCAAATTATTTGAGGCTTTTCAGATAAAAGAAACAGAAAGCCAGCAGTTTCAAAGAGGAGAATCAGGGAGGAGTCTGGCACCTATTGTGTTGCCTTTTGGTTTCACTCAACCAATTAAACTTTGTCAAACCCCGGGGCAAATGGAGTGAGGAGAAAAGAATGGCCTGGGCAGAGGGGTGAGGGTGGGCTGCAGGCACTCCTTCCATTCCAGAGCTGGGGGAGAAAGGATGGGCGGGAATTGCCCGGGCCAGATGTCCATGGTGAGTTTTTTCCTGCATAAAAACGTTTTGTTGCTGGGGAGAAAGGGCTTGCTCAGAGCCTGGCTTCACTGGAGCTGGCCCTGACCCCCAGGCCCCTTGTAAGCCAGAAGCTGCTCTGTATTTCACATTTCCTTTCTCAGCCCCAGCTTTTCTCCTCTCCCTTTCCCTTGGTATCATCCAGCTCTTTCTCCTCTATCTGCACCGAGTTACTTTTTTCTCCTGGTTCTAAGGCTACAATAAGATCACCACCCCTTCCCTGCCCCGCCCCACCCTGAGGTCAGCCCCATCCCACCTGGGCGGGGTAGCTGGCCATAAGGCTGCAAACTGTGGGGACCCACGGCTGCCACGCCCTGGTCCCTCTTTATTCAGTCAGTCCCCTCCTTACCCAGCCCTCCGCCCTCGCCTGTAGTTAGGCTCTGTCCTCTTCTCACGCAGGACCCGGGGACTTGATGTCCAGCGGCCAGCTAGCCCCACGTGGTGGTGCTGTCTTTGTTTTACCCCTCCCGAGAAGACACAGTCAGGTGTGGACGAGTCCCATTGTCCTGAAAAGGGGCAGGTCTCCAGACCCCTCGGGGGGACTCCGAAGCATCCAGGCAGCCCAAGTCCGAACATGAGGACAGGGCCACTGCATGTCTCAAGACCAAGAGAATGGCAGGAAGCGTGGCCAGCAGTGGCCCGCCGGAGTCCTGCCGGGAGGGTGGGAGGTGGAGAGGGAAGGTGGGGTAATCTGTGTCTACCGAGGCTGAGGCCCCCTCTAGGGGGAGGAAACTACTCCCCCACAAGCAGGGAGTCAGGGTGCCGGGGGAATGAGGTCATCTGTCAGATGAGGAAATAATCATAGTGCTGGAGCAGTGAGGAGGCGGAGGCGAGAGGTCTGATCAGCGGAGCTCAAGTCTCCCAGAGACCCTGCTCAGTCCTCTAGGGCCAGCCAACCCCCCTCTCAGTTCCCCACAGTCCCTCACCTTACTTGCTGGGTCTGTACCTTCGCCTCTCTTTGAAGCCCACTTATCATCACAGCAGCCGAGCTGTCAGTGGATCCTAGTCTTTCTGGGACAGGTTTGGAGTGGGTAAGAATCTTTCATTGCTAGATGGATCCACTAGAGAGCATGGTAGGAAGTGAGTTCCCTGTCATGAAAAGCATTCAAGCAGAAGTTGGATTACCACACAGCAGGGTGGCTATAAAGGAGATTTCTGCATTGTGTTGGAGACTGGTCTAGATTAATGTTATTCAAACTGTAGATTGAAACCCATGAGTGGACTGTGAAATCAATNTAGATTGAAACCCATGAGTGGATTGTGAAATCAATTTGTGGATTGTAACTGGTATTTTTTTAAATAAAATGGTGTAAAAGTAAGAACACATTCCTTATAGTAGAGTAAATAATTTTTCCTGTGCCATTTTCTAGTTATATATTTTCAATTAGGTATATATTTATAAATATAAGTAAATATAACACATATTTATGCTTATATTTCAGTTATGCATACATTTATACGAGTGGCTGTCTGTACTTATGTGTATGTATCAGTGACTATAAATATATAGTAGCATGACATACATACTGGGTCATGATATAAAATGTAGGCCTTTATTATGGATCTCAGTAAGAAAAAGGTTGGAGAAACAGTGGGATGAGAGACCTCTAATTCCTTTTTCTAACTATAAGACTGTAAGCCTATGGATAAGTCTTACTAGACCATAAACGTCTTTTTTAAAAAATTTATTTTTAATTGTGGTAAAATGTACATAATATGAAATTTATTTTACTCATTTTAGTCATTTGTAAGGGTGCAGCTCAGGAGCATTAAGTACATTCACATTACTGTGCAACCATCACCACCGTCCACTCCAGAACTTTTTCATCTTTTCAAACTAAAACTTTGTCCCATTAAACAATAACTGCCTATTCCCCCGCCCCAATCCACGGCAACCATCAATCTGTATTCTGTCATGTACGTGGGATCACATAGTATTTTCTTCTTGTGACTGGCTTATCTTACTTAGCAGAGTGTCCTCACGGTCCACCCATGTTGTAGACTGAACTTCTTGCAAGGAAAACTTGCTCATACGTGTCCTTATTACCAGGTACAAGATAAGTGCCCAAAGGTACAACTAAATCCAAGCATTGTCTTAAATGGGAAAAACTCCGTATCTTTAGGGAGATACTTTGTTCTAAGGACCCATCAAAGATAGAGAAGTCTTGTGTCCTGAGCAAACTGTTGAGCAGACACACTATTGACATTGGGGGAATGGGAATGTCTTGCATTTTTGCTTAATATCTAGATTTCATTTGGCTTCATAAAAGAAATCCAAGAGCCAAGTGGGGCTGGCTGCCTTCTCTCATCCGACCAGGCCATTTGAACCACATTTGTCCTGTGGGACAGAAATGGGATGACTGATAAGATTTAAAATAGAGCAACAAAGATTGATGAACCGAGATCCAGAGAGAAGGCAGTGGAAGAGACTGGGCAAAGAAGGAAGGAGGGAGGGAGGGAGAAAGAGAAGAGATAGTGTCTACATTAACCCAACATTATAGAAAGATCTTTTATGTTCTTGATTTTAAATAATTGGATATTTAAAAAATAAAGATCTTAACCAAAGAAAGGCTTAGTTTTTCCTGAACCCCTAGACCTTTTTTATATTAAAATGTTCTCCCTAGATATTTTTATATTATTTTCTACTTACTTGGAGATTCCCATTTGGAGGCATAAGGTTCCCAGACATTTTGAAGTCAGGGGTGGTTAGAAATAAGACCATTTTGTGGGAGGGGGGGTAAGAAATTATGAGGAGAATGATAAAATATGCAAAATGTAATTTTTAAATGCCCTGTAACTTTTCTTTTATAATTTTTATAAGAACCAAACTGTCTTCTCTCTCTTCTCTCTCTTCTCTCTCTCTCTCAGCTTGGGAAATAAATATTCATCATGTACAACTTAGTGTGCTTATAAAGTTAGAATTTGGTATATTTAGAGATGTGATAGTTTGGAAAAAGTTACTTTTTTCTATTTTTCTTTGAGGAGGAGTAAAGACCAAAAAAAATCTCCTGCCATTTAAAAAAGTATTCTGGGAGTGTGTTTTTTGCATTTTTAGTCCCACTAGAAAGACAAATGTAGGTGTATTAACCCCCACCCTCATACACCCCCCTCCACCTTCCCCACCAAAGCCCACTGGCCTTTTCCATCAATTAAAACTGACAGCCATGTGTCCACCCCTGCAGGATCCTGCTCTCAGAGTGGGTGGTGGGAAGCAGGAGGACAGACAGATCAGAAGGGGTAGGTGTCTGGGGTGGTTGGCCTAATATATGACAGGGCACATGCAACCCCGGAGTTCAGAGAACAAACCAGAGAATGTGAATCCAGAAAAAAGATTTGAGCGCAAACTCTAGGGTGAAAGACCCAGTGGCGGAGGGGGAGGGGCCGAGTGCAGAATCCCAGTGGATCATTTGGGTGTCAGTGCCCAGAAATCCAGACCATTTAGGGAGCAAGTTTCAAATTGAGTACAATAGCCACCCCCACCCCCGCCTTATCCGCTGTTTCACTTTCCATGGTTTCAGTTACCCTTGATCAACAGTAGTCTGAAAATATTAAATGGAAAATTCCAGAAATAAGCAATTCATAAGTTGTAACTTACATGCCATTCTGAGTAGCTCAACGAGATCTCACGCTGCCCCTCTCTGTCCCACCTGGGATGTGGATCATCCCTCTGTCCAGAGTTTCCACGCTGTACTTGCTCCCCACCCATTAGTCACTTAGTGGCCGTCTCAGTTATCAGATCCACTGTCACATCGTAGTGCTTGTGTTCAAGTAACACTTATTTTACTTAATAATGGCCCCAAAGTGCAAGGGTAGTGATGCTGGCAGTGAAGATATGTCCAAAGAAGCTGTAAAGTGCTTCAAGTAAAAAGTTAAGTCTGTACAGGAAAAAACATAGCGTATACGGTGTTCGGTGCTATCCTTCGTTTCGGGCATTAACTGGCTTCTTGGAACTTCTCCCCGCAGTTAAGGGAGGACCAGTGTATGTGCAAGCAGGTGAGAGGCTCTGTCTCCTGACAGTGCAAACACAACTTGACTTTGATACTGGGACAGGTCTGTCTCCTGCACCTATCATCAAGCAGACATCTAAGGTCTCAACAAGTATTGCACGAGTCCTTCTTAGAAAAAATTTACTTCAGAAATAGTCTAGCTAATTTTTTTAGCCAAAAAAAATGATTTTATCAAATTACAGAACTCTAGTACAAGAAGAATATTGATAATGGTTATGAAGAAAGAAAACACTAGAATTTAGAGTCATTGCCTAATTGTAATCAATACGATTATAAGGCTGAATGCAGTTGTCAAATACCTTGCGGCTAAGAAATACGTCAGTTCCATTCCTCATTGTATCCCTTCCTAGTGCTTGTATCCCTTGTGTAGTGCTTATGGTAGGTTCTCAATAAATAAACCAATAACGGCAATTCACAACTGAAACTCCAGATCATTCTGACAAAACTGTCTCACACAAAGGAAACCCCTAGATACTGTTTTATTCTCAAAGCAGTGTAGGCATAAATTATATTAACTTAGAGATGAAAACAAGATGTAAAACTTACAAAGCATGGAGAAGAATGAAAGAACAGAGAAGGCAAGAGTATGACTGCCAAGGGTAGGAGCCTCCCTTTAGCAAACCTACCGCAGGCCTGAACACTGCCCCTGGTACGCCTCCTTAATCTTGAGGAAGGCACTG